CCTGTAGAAGGTGGTAGGGGGGAAACGGTATAGCTCAATAAAACTATGATTACTTGGGTCTGTTTTCATAATGGGGCATAATACAATAGTTAAAAGGGGCTGTAGAAGCTATTAAGTGCTTGATGGATGTTTGTTCTCATTTGATTCATATTTAAAAGCTGGTAATTAAAAAAATGGAAACCAAGGAGGAGCTGTATAAAAGTAAGCAAATCCTGTTTCTAGAAATAAACAGTGGGGGAAAAGGAATATCTTGTCACCTCTGTAGCTTAGGAGATGTCAAGACTTCAAATGCCCTCAGCAGCCCAGCCATCAGAAGGGGGATGTCTTGTGAGTGATCCATTTTTATGGAGCTGTGCACACTGCAAAATTTATACTAATTGCTTTAGCGAGGGTAAATTACACGCAAGTAAATTCTGATGGTTTCTGGAGCCCTGTTGGTAATTTCCCCTTTATTGATGAAATAGAAAATGCCTGCTTTTTAATTTCTTGGGTCCCTGCATCTGAGTCCACGTTGTGTTCTGTTCACATTGAGGTAATGGGAAAGGCAGACTTTTTCCCAGGAATCCAAAATAAACATTTATCTTGGTGCCTCATGAAAAACACGCAGGAAAGGAAGCGTGTTGGGCCTACAGAAGTGATATAGTCTTTTATACGGGGATAATTTATTGATTCTTGGGCTTTTGTGAAAGGAGAGTTCATTGAGGTGTATGGCCTAATTAAATAGGCTGGAACAATTCTGATTCTGGCATTTTTCTTCAAACTGAATATATCCTGTTACATGTTTGTGCAAAATGAGCAAAGGTGGCATTCAGGACTCTTACCACCCACGTTGCCTGTTGTAATAAACCATCTGCCATAATTCTTAGTGATTTAAAAGTGTCCCGTGTATATTTTAACCCATAACTGTAACTATGAAACTGAGAACAGACAGTATGGCTTTCCTTACACCCCACTCTCCAATAATTCCTTATAATCAGCAATAGCTTGAGTGCTTCGTGGTGGTAATTCTCTGTCCTGAGCTCAGCTTCCTGTAGACTGGCGGAAATGTAACACGGCATCAGGGTAGTACAAGCGAGCTTGAAATTTAAGTCCTTCTCCTTTCTGAGAGGTAGACTAAAACACTTCTTGCAGCACTTTGATGTCATATAGTATGTGTTTCAAAGATTTGGATTTTTTTAACAAGCCTATTGATGTACCTGTTTAAGTTCGAATAGTATTTAATAGATTTTTAGTGGTAGTATGTTTCAGTACTTGAAATGACTTTGGGTGGGATAATATTTTGTCCTTTTTGTGTCAGTTTTGAAGAACTGAACTGCACAAAGAGTGTGCTGGAGTTATGGGGACATTGGAATTATTCTGGAATATTTACTAATGTACTTTAAGGGCATCTTCCTGATTCATAAAAAGTATCCCACAGTGTTTTATTTCCACTTGAGCTTTTCAAGCAGCCATGTATTTTAGCATGGAATATTTCAAATTGTTAGCTGGATCTCTCTTTTAAAGTATACAATTCTGGTTTGCTTGTTTACTGAATTGTGGGATTTTCACCTCTCTTTTATTTTTTTATTTTCGTACCACACTTGCTGGTGTTGAGAAGTGTGGCTGCTTGGACTGTCTGGTATCAGGGAGGTCACACCAGCATTACAAGAACGTAAAACATTGCAGTCAGCATTTGGACAATAAAAATGAAGCAGTCTTCAGGTTTTCACACACCCAACTATATCCTCAGATAATGGACTGGCTGAGTCTTCTCGCTTCTGAGATAGCTGTATTTGAAACAAATTCCTTATCTCTTGGCTGTGGCTTCTTATAATGGATGGCAGGGAGGAAGGTGGTAAGGATTTGGTGCACTTAGGAGGAGAGGAAGTGGGACTTCTTCCTGGGAAGCTGTTGGATATGATACAACTCCGCTTTGCTGCTGAACTGAAGGTGATTTTCTTTATAGCCTTCCCTATGGCTTTGGTGGAGCACAACACGTAGTGAGAACTTGACTAAGAAAACAGAATTAGAATAGAGAGCAAAGGGTTTGAAACACTGTGAGAGTGCAGATCTGTTCTTACATCTTCACTAGGTGCGGCAAAAAAATATTTCCAGGAGAGGAAACTTGCCAACCTCAGATGTGTGCTGAGCCCTGGTAAATGACTGGTGTGTGGGACCCTGTCCTGTGATCCGTGCCTTCAGGGGCACCTGGGCAAAAGCTGGCATCTCTGGGGAGCTTCAAGATCAACAGGCAGAGAAGCTGGACGACATTGATGGGAACACCATTGGCCAAGGAGGAGACCCGAGGGAGAAGATCTATTCGACCCTTAGCAGCTGTGCTCGGAATGGAGGTGCTCACCAGGTCTCAGGGGATGAAACGGATCAAGAAGCATCACTTTCATCTTTGTGTCATAAAGGAGAGCAAACTTATGGATGGCTCCAGAAAGTATCTAAATAACGTGTTTTAAGTAATGGAGTATAATGAAACACCTGCTTCTGTGAGAGAGGTACGGGTCGAGTGAGAAGGAATTAAGATGAGTGTTGTTTTTAACAGTTTAGCCAGCACTCCTGAATCGACTTAGGAAGCAAAGGTCACAAGTTCAGCAGCATTTGTCACTTCAGCCCAGTTCCTAATTAAACAACTTTAACGTTATAAAATCGCAGTAAACTCCGAAGTCCCACAGTTTTCTTGCGCCGCGTGTGTGGTAGAACACAAGCATCGCAAGTAAGTAAATCTCAGCCTTCAAATCTTTAGAAGTATTTTTCTAAAATATACATATATATATATATATCTGAGTTCATCAGTGAGCCAAGGGCTGCTGAAATGTGTTTGGCAGTAGTCCCTGCTGCCTCCAAACGCAGCTGAACAAACAGCCCACAGCTCGCACAGGAAGACAGGGCCAATTGGGTAGGAGGGCAGGAGGGGACAGCGCGGTAGATTTTGTGTCCCAGCAAGAGAGAAGCACGCTGTCACCTCCGTGTTTATATAGCCGCCAGGAACTGTGCTTAGGAATTGGTTGATCCTGTGGCTGGGGTGGTAGAGAAAGACCTTTCTAGTTTTCCGGCATGCATTAAATGACCGAAATGACTTTAAATAAACTTTACTTAAAGCTTTGTGTATCTTAAAGAAAAAGTCGGTTTGGGAATTCGACCTGTAGGGCTTTTGGAAAGAAAGAAAAATTAGGTTGTTTTTCTTGAAGGGGGAGAGAAAGCAGCGAACTTTTCTTTAATGGTGATTGTTGTTTTCAGGGAAGGCTTTCCTGGAATAAGGTTATTACAGCGTGTTAGTAACGTGGCATCGCTTTGCTCTTTTTATGGCATCCTTTTGCTCTTCGTGACTTCACCACTTTAGCAAACACTTTCCCTGTATTTAACTGGCAGTAAGCTAGGAAGCTTCAGGAGATTGACCACAGAGACTCTGCTGGCTGCACATGAGGGAAGCGCTCACCAGACCAAATTATTTTTGAGTAGTGGAGTTTATTGAGGCCACATCTGCAGCCTGCATGATTTTACAACCACCGTTAACAGAAGTACAAGGCATAGAGTAACCGCCGTCTATTTTAGCGGAGCGGTGCTATTATTAGGATCAGCATTAGGAGCTGGAAATCCAGATCCAGACAGTGGAGGGAGAGAAGCATCTTGAAGGGACCGATTTAGAGAACTCGCAGGAGGCCATGCCCTTCAGCATCCCCTGGAGCTCCCAAGTAGCAGAAAACCACTGTGGCAAGCAGGTCCAATGAACATTTATGGTGCAGTAGCCTATAACATCATGAGTGAGGATGCTTCCGCTTCTCCAAGTTACTGCCTTTCAGATTTCATAATCACCTTCCTCCAGAGTTTAACGTGACCTGTTTTGCAGTGACTTGCAGCAGTGAGTGAGTGCCAGTCCACCGAGTCATGGTGCAGGGCTCTGGAGTGGTGCAGGTCTCTGGAGTGATGCAGTGACGGTCAGCCTTGCCCTGTAGAGTGCGCAGGGGGAGGGTGGATGGATGGATGGATGGATGGATGGATGGATGGATGGATGGATGGACGGACGGACGTGTGCTTTACACAGCGAATACATTGGCAGCCACGACAGCAGCAGATTGATGACAAAAGTGTTGTTGAGTATTACACGTCCGTTGAGAGCTTCTTTTTAATGATATCACATTAAGCCACAGAAATTTCCCTTTCTGTATATGTAAATAGGTTGGAGTAACCCATGACTGAATGCAACGGATTTCACCCCCCTGCACCCACTGCTTTGGGAAAGATCATGTCAAGAATGAGAAAATCAGTGAGATCATTTATGGGATGAAATACTAATTGGCACACTTGTGATCTGAAAAGCAATTGAATATTGCTGATGCTATTGCACAGTTTTGTAGCAGTCGTCCGTCACAGTGGTGACCTGGATATAGCGTGCTTTCTGCTCACACGTTTCTAGACTATTGCTTTGTTTCTTCTCTTTCATTGCAGATTGTCGTAAACATTTCATAGAATCATAGAATGGTTTGGGTTGGAAGGGACCTCAAAGATCATCTAGTTCCACCCCCCTTGCCATGGGCAGGGACACCCTCCACTACACCAGGTTGCCCAAAGCCTCATCCAACCTGGCCTTGAACACTTCCAGGGATGGGGCAGCCACAACTTCTCTGGGCAACCTGTTCCACTGCCTCACCACCCTCAATGTAAAAAATTTCTTCCTTCTATCTAATCAAAATCTCCCCTCTTTCCGTTTAAAGCCATTGCCCCTTGTCCTATCTCTACACACCCTTGTAAAAAGCCCCTCTCCAGCTTTCTTGTAGCCCCTTCAGGTACTGGAAGGCTGCGAGAATGTCTCCTGGAGCCTTCTCTTCTCCAGGCTGAACAGCCCCAACTCTCTCAGCCTGTCTTCATAGCAGAGGTGCTCCAGCCCTCGGATCATCTTTGTGGCCTCCTCTGGACTCGCTCACAGTTAGCAGTCTCTAAAACATTCTTCATCCAATACCTTGTGCATTTTTCCTAGTTTTGATGCTTTCCTCCTTCATCCTTTCCATTAGGAGAAGCCCTTTGTATCGGAAGCAGCTAGGAAGAAAGAGAGAGACTTGGTAGCCAAAGAAATTGAGAAGTTTCAGGTCTCTATTCAGACTCTGTGCCGGAGTGCCCTTATGCTTGGGAGGATCATGGATTACATTCAGGAAGACATGGATGCCATGAAGAATGAGTTGCAGATGTGGCGGCAGGAGAACAGACAGCACGCAGAAGCTCTGCAGAAAGAGCAAAGGTGAGTGTGGTCAGGGGAAGTTTGATTTATCTCTCCAAGCAGATTTCTGTTTTTGGGAGAGGGGAGAGTTTTGCTCACTTTTCAAAGCAAATTTTTTCATCAGTCATTTTTGTGGTTTCGGGAATTTTTTTTTTGCAGTCTGAACTGTTTTTTGAAGTGAGATTAATCAGTCATTTTTGTGGTTTCGGGAAATTTTTTTTGCAGTCTGAACTGTTTTTTGAAGTGTTAAAGTCTTCAGGTCTTTTCGGCTCAATTTCACATGATGCACATGACAGCAGAGATGCAAATGTTTATGTGAGGCGAGAGGGCTCTATTATGATGTGCATAATAGAAACAAGGAGGTCAAGCCTAGAAACGGCTTCTTTGACCTTACTTGTCTCACTGATGGGCCTTCATGCTCCTCAAAAACAGAACGTCCCTTCCAGTTGTATGTCCTCTGATCATAAGCATGAGCTAGATATTGATCTTCTTGGATTCACAGTCAGCTTAGACAGATTGGCTGCTCCCCGAACTGCCATGCTTTGTTCATGCAGAAGCAAGTCTCTGTGGTATTCTGAGCTGAGTCCTGTCTTGGTAGGTAGAAATGTGTTAAATGTTGGAAATTTACAGCTGCTGGCTTAGTCCACTGGCTGGGGTGGGAATTAGGGCTTTGGTTCACATACGAAGTGTAATGATGTTAATTCCTTGCACTTACATAGCGCCTTCTGTCCCAAAATCCTGACAGGCTTTAAAAGTTTGGTTGGCCTCAGAATGCACCACTCCTGCAAAGAGAAAGGAAATGGCATTTGGCTTTATTTTATAGTTGGAGAAACTGAGGCATTGACTCACCTTTGCACCCCACCTGATGACACTGAGCAAGTCTCAGGCCTTTCTCCAGGCATGTGCTTACTCAGTGGACCCACTTTGGCCTTGCCAAACAAGTCATTTGTGCTTCAGCTGGTTTCCCAGTACGTGTCCCTTGAGTTCCCAGGCAAAGCGGGCTAAGGACAAGACTGTCTCCTTGACGTTGGTGCAGAAGGAGAAGGAGAGTGGGAAGAAGGAGCTGCCCAGCTGATTTTGTTTGCAGATTTGTGTTAAACCAGCTGTTTTGGGTGAGACTGTGGGCAAGCCAGCACCCCAGCAGAGCTGCTCAGCTCCCTTCCATGAGCTGAGACTGTTGCAGCATATCCCTCTCCAACTTCACTAAGTTTCGTATGAGATCCTAATCAGATCAGGGCAGTGCTGAGGCATGTCCAGTTCCTTCAGGAAAGAATTACAGAGTATCAGACACGAAGAGGACAATACTTCCCATATGTACTGGAATTTGGATGCGTGTCTTTGTTTTCTTTGCTTCTGTGAAAGACAATTGAAGGATCCCGTTGGGGAAATGTTAGTGCAATTTCTAGTGATGCTTCTCGTGATTTATGCTAATGTGGTAGAAAAGAGGGGAAAACTAAATGATTTTGAGATGCGGACTTTAGCTAATGAGCCCTCAAAGTGACTGGGTAATTCAGAATGACAGCAGGCTAGCTCAGTCTGTCATTTCCCTGCCTGTTCAGCGTTCCTGAAGATCAGCAAAGCATTACGGAAAGGGGCACGTTTGTTTTAAAGCCAGACGGCCCCGTTCACCTCAGATGCGTCACTGTACTTGTGGTTTATTAGCATAGGATTTACTAAATTTCCGACCAGTGTGGGATTGCCTGCCCTTGTCAGCAGCTAGCAGTGGGTCAGTTTTCATGTACCTTGCCTCTTCTCAGACGTCTGCCTGCTGTAGTTTGGTGCTGCTGGCAGCTGCTAGTGTGTTGTAGGAAATAGCTGATGGCAGGCCAGCAACCTCCACAGCTGCATTTGTCCCTCTCTGCCACGTACTTCTCTCCTTAAAGCTCTCATGGTGAGGCCCAAAGGGATGGCTGTTACCATGTATATCGTGGTAGGACCCATGGGCCCCTGTAAAAGGTGGGTGTCCTTAGAATCATAGAATGGTTTGGGTCAGAATGGGCTTTTAAAGATCATCCATTTGAACTCCCCTGCCATGGGCAGGGATATCTTGCACTAGATCGGGTTGCTCAAAGCCCAATCCAGCCTGACTTTGAACACTTTCAAAGATGGGGTATCCACAACTCCTCTGGTCCTTGTTGGGTTATGTCTCAGAGAGTCAAGTGCTGCATCATCCCTGGGCTAGGTGGTTGCAGCTTTTGGCTGGGTAAAATGAAAGTGCTACATGTATGCATGGTGTGGGGTGAAGCAAAGAGAAGCAAAGCAAAGAGATCTTAGCAGAAAAGCTGGATTAGGCAAGAAGTGACTGTTTACTGTTGAATTGTGGGTGATCTCTTGTGAACAATATTCCTTCTCTGTCCATGTTGTTAGCTTTGTCTTCGTGCTTCATATTCTAAACTTTCTTTCAGGAAGGGTGGGCACAACTGAAATTCTTTGCAAACTTTCAGGTATCGAATGTACTTTCTTGGAGACTTAAGTAACCTGAAGCAGCATAATGTTTCCAATAACTTCAGGCTCTTTGTGTGTCTTTCAGCATCACAGACAGTGCTGTAGAACCATTAAAAGCTGATCTGGCTGAACTGGAGCAGTTGATTAAAGACCAGCAAGACAAGATCTGTGCTGTAAAAGCTAATATTTTAAAGAACGAAGAAAAAATCCGGAGGATGGTTCTTAGCATAAATGTGTCTTCAAGAAGGTGAAGAAGAGGAAAAAAAAAAAGCCTTTGGACTGACTGACATTCCTACCAAATAGAGACAAAATACCAGAGAAAACTAAGATATGCCTTGTTCAGATATAAAATGTTTAGAGACCAGAAGCCTAAAAATTATATAAAATCCTATTATTGCATTGATCTTTAGATGTTAATATTACCCAGGATAAAATTATATTAATTTGAATGCTGAAGTTGCAGAGGTATTAAAATAACTTGTTTATTTAAATGTGAACTGCTGTTACTCACTTACCAGGTCTTCACAACCCTGTTTTCCTCCCTGGCCTGTTGAGCACAGTTCTCTCTGCATCTCCTTCTTCTCCACATTTCCACTGAGGTTACTTTTGAACACACTGTCATGAAAAATGGATATTAGATATTTCTTTTGCTCCCTTGAGAAAATGTTCCCAACTCCTGCAGGTCAGAAGGTTCCTGGATCCTGCTTGTTATTAACAGGCAAAATTATCCACAAAACAATGCCACAAGATGAAGAAGTAAAGGCTTGTGTAACTTGCAGTTCTTTGCATCATTATAGAGATGATGTCATGTTTTCAGAGCTGTCAGGAATCTGATTAGGAGCAACTGAAAATGCCATACGAGCATCACCGTGTAAGGGAGCAGAAGTATTTTATCTGCGCAGGTGTTAATTCCATTTTTATTGCACATGTTCATTTGGAAAGGATTAATTTAAGTACCTGTTTCCTCCCAAATGCATGTTCCCGTAACTTTTTGTACGTGAATAATTCCACTGATTTCTTTAGTTAACTGCAGATGTCTGTACTGTTTTCCTAATGACCTCTTGAGCGTACTGCGTGTTGGAGTCCAGCTTTACTGATTGCTAGGTCTGCAAAGCCTGTTAGTGTAGACACAACTATGTGACACTGCGCTGAGTGCAGAAGGCTTTAATCCCCTGCAAGGCTGTCTTCTCAAGATTTTTATAATATGCAAGCACATCTTCTCCTTCCATGTTGTTTGGATTGTGTATGAAGGGCTACTGTTCTTTTTGTCTTTTTTCCTTCTTTGATTGGCAAATCTGTGGTGTTTTTTTTTCTCCTTGGTTTCTTTTTCTGGTATCTGGACCTCGAAAAACATACCAAACAGCTCATCACCAAATAGCGTGAGTATTTACTGTGCTAAATATGGATATTTTAAAAGGCTTTGCTGCATGGGTTTTTGGTGAGGGCGGAGAGGAAGTAGGGGACTTGTGAAGGAATAGGAGAAAACCTCTGATCTGTTCTTAACAGCATATGACACTATGGTCTTTGCTTTTGAATTGTCACTTCAAATTTTTTTATTTCAATATATTTTTTAAATGGTGAAGCAATATTGTGGGTAGAGTCCAGTGAGCAGGCCTTGTGCAGTGACCCAGCCCAGCGTTGCCACCCTCTGCTACCGTACATTGCTTCTCAGCCCAGCTTGGAGCCTTTCCACGGCATCCTGCGCCTCGGCACCTGAAGTTAAAGAGGTTCAGAATGTCCACCAGAATCCCCAGAGCCCAGAACTGATGGTGAAAGCCTGGGTGGTCAATATGTAACTTTGGAGCAGTTTGATATGGTTAGTGTTAGGGTTTAGTAACATGTCTAACGCCTCCGTGTAGGTTTGCTTTTCTCTTTTTTCCAGTGTGATGGAACAAAGTGCCTTGGAGCTGAGGCTTGGTTTAATTCCAAAGGCAGGTTGAGGATGCAGTGCCAAAAAAGCACATCAGCAGCTGTGCCTCACGAAGGGGAGAGGAGCTTCTCTGAAAACGGATCGAGAAGAACATCCGTGCACGCACGCCTGCCCGCGTCTCCGTAGCAC